TCAGCAGTGACTAAAACATCCCTGTGTTATCAACACTGTTTCCAGCACAAATCCAAAACAGAGCCTCATACTAGCTACTATGAAGAAAATTAACTCTATCCCAGCCAAAACCAGCACATTGGGCAAACTAATATAATGGCTTCCATGAAGTAGAAGGTCTGGGCTAAGAAGTAGAAAAAATTGTGCTGAATGTACTGCAAAAGGAGAAACTTTATATTCCACTTCTTCTACCATCTTCAGATGAGGGAAGAGCCGCTGGACCAGCGATCAAAATTGGCAATGGCTTGTTCTGCTGGGCTTGTAATTCTGATGACAGGCTAAGCGAGTGAGTGTAGATAAGAATGCTCTTTTAATAGGTTCAATAAAGATTTTGAAGTATTATCATAAAAATTTCTGTATGATGTGTACTGTATGAGCTTTTGTAGTATATGGACAGTTTGGTTAGAAAAATATTGCCAAGTTACTTGTGAAGGACCAAGAGTTATTTCAGGTAAGTGTTGAGAAAATTATTTATAAATATGCTGGTAGAAGATGACTTTCAAATAATGATAGAGCTTTCTGAGCAGTAATGATACACATCGGTGGTAGTAGTACCAATAATAAGCTGCCAGAGGGGGTGAGGGGCAAAGGTAAAATAAACAAACTTCTTTTCAATTGATTAAAAACTTATTAAAACTGTCAGACAAAGCTGAGGAGCAAAACTTTAGTGTCTTTAACTTGACTGAGGTCCAGTAGCAAGTTATTACTGAAATATCAAGACTGCTAAGGTCTTTATTATTTATTTTCCTTTCTTCAGGCTTACAGTTGTTAAGCAGGGATTATTGACTAGGTGCAAGAAAACTGTACGATAGCTCAGCTTTTAAATGGACAAATGCCCTCTGAAGCTTGGCAATTTTGTCAGCTATTATTTTTGAGTGGTTCTGATGCTTGTTCAAATGAGGTGGTAGAGGGGAACACAGATCAGGGATACTGAGTGCTAGTTCATTCAGAGGAGTTAAAAGTGTATTAAAATAAACATTCCTTTTGTCTTTATGTTTACGGAAAAAATGAAATAAAAATGTTACAGAATCAGTATTGGAACCATCCTTGTAAGAATGCAAATTTTTCAGCAAAAAAAATCTACAGAAATCTAGAAGTTTTTACGATTATTGCCTTCTTGCAGGGGATGATGCTTGGTGAAGTTCAAGGAAAAATGGGTGGGACAAGTGTGCCCTGCAGCAGATAACAGTAAGGTGAAAGGGAAATGAGAATAATAGTAGGACTCATAGAAATGGGGCGGAATGCTGTGTTTTATGGGAGTCTCAAAGCAGGACAAGTTGAGAGAAACAGTGATAATCTAGTTAGTATGACCCAAGTGAGGAGCAGTCAGTGTTTAGGGATGAGGACTGAAAGATTAAGGACTTTTACAAAAAAGCGCTTGTCAACATTTTGTTTGGGTTATTGGGAAAACTTTGGATTTGCCTCAATGGTACAGGATTTAATGAAGTGGAAGAAAATCACTTGGTATAGGGCGGGGGTGGAGGGGAACTTGTATAGCAGGTTGTGGGAGTAGTTGTAAATTTGAAGGCTACATAAACATTAGGCTAGTTTAAAGGCCAAAACTGAGTCTATGGTATCTTTGACTAACTGACTGTCCAATTGTTTTGTTTTTGTTTTAAATGGTAAATGTTCCGTGCATATACCACTTCAGCTAATCTCAAAATTTTCATTATAAAATACTAAGAATATTGTTGTTTGTGACTTGAAAAGCCTTTTTAAAGTCAGAGTGGATGGTCTCCTGATTTCAAAATTCCTAATAACATAATTCAGTGCTCCACAATTCTTGATAAAAGGAAGACATGGAATAGATCTTCAGGGTCAGCATGCAGAAAGAATAATGAGGCTTGTGCTTACAGATGCTTGTTTGAATTAAAATAAATACTGGAATTGGTAGAAATCAGATGACAAACCTTGTACCTCCTGACCATTACTCTCTCCCACAGTGTAAGGGGAGAAAAAATGTATTTGGGGGTTTTATTTTTGTGCTTCAGTATAATAAAAATGGGTTGTACAAATGGATTAGGGGGCTAGAGGAGACAGCTGAGAGGCAGTTTGGTCTTATACATTATGTGGACCAGAAGACCTGATGAAGCAAAGTATCCCTCGGTGAAGCAAGGGCAGCAACTTTCAAACACTAGCTATCTGTGTAAAATAAATAAAAGAATTACAGCCAATCACATTTCCAGCTGAGAAGCACGGGCTTTTTTTTTTATCTTTTAAAAAATTCAGTTTACTATAAAAGTTTTCAGATGTTAGATCTTGCCAGCCTTTGCTAGGACTCTAGATTGAAGTCAGTTTTGAAAAAAGGTCAACTTAACATTTAATCTTATTGTAATACTCAACCCTGTAACTCGTTCATTAGAGCTGTAACTTAGAAGGACTTTTTTAAAAATCGAATTGGTATTGTGAATTTGGATTTCTAAGGTAGCTACTTCAGAGGTACTAAAGGTGAAGGTCATTTGCAAAATGGATCTATCTAATCACAAATGGATAGTATTTATAGAGTCAGTTGATACTAGCCACCAATTATCAACAAATTATTTAGTGCTATTGAATTGGATTGCCTATAAATCATAAAGCTTAAAGAGGCGCATTAGCTCCTCTGTCTAGCATTAGTTTTTTTGTGGCATTCGTATTTTAAAAACAAGCCTTGAGTGGCATCTCCATTTTCAATCACAAGTAGAGGAAAACCAGAAAAATTATACAGTGTGTAAGGGACATAAACACCTAAATGAATGGTTATTTATGGAAGCTAGGAAAAAAACAAAGTAAGCCCTAGCAATGTTTTCCTTACTAATGTAAAATCTGCCCCATAAAAGGGTTGCTCGGGGAAAAACTCCTGTGTGTAGAGGTAATGCATGTAAGAGAAATACCCTGATATAACAGACTGAGTAAAAAGAGCTAAGCAGGTGTTGGTGAGATACATAACACAAAAACAGAGACATCAACTAGAGAAGAAGGACAAGATTTTTTTTTTTCCCCATTGCAGAAATTGACTTTGTAATATACAAGGTTTAGAAACATTAGTCTTAGAAAATTCTCTCCACAGTCATTCATACTTTTTTGAAACAGTATTAATTCCTGAAATAGTTTTAATTTTTATTTTTCTAGGAATCTGGAATGAATGTTAATTTGGGGATATAAGCTTGATGCTTTTGTGAATAATTCAAAATGCTAACATTGTTGTGCAGGAAATGCAGCTTGAGCTCGTGGTTAAAACTGAATTGCAATCCAAATGGGCAGTTTGCCTGTGCGATCTGAGGTAAATGGTGTAGGCAACCATAATAAGGTAGACTATGACTGAAATATCTTTTGAATTAATTCTTAGCAACTAGTAATCATGAAATGCACTATCAAGGTTGGCTGTACTACTCAAAGCATTCAGAAGTGTGTCTCCAAATGCATTTTCCTTCAACTGCTATGGGCATATTTATATTAACTTTCATACTGACATAATTATTCAGTTTTGTCTCTACGCTATTTAGCAGTGTCCTTTGTTTTCTGTTGCGCTACATTGCCTTGTGCACTGGGTATTAATATCTCTTTCTCAAAGGATAGACCCCCAGAGTTGTCCAGCTTGAAGCAGTATTGTCTTCAAAACCAAGCACTACGAAACTGAAGGTTTGTTTTAGGTGTTCTTAGAAGTTTTAAAGTAAGGATGGGATGCTACTATGAAGGACATGGATTGTGTAGTCTTATCCCTACCATGAGACTGTAGATATGATAGACAGTGTTAATAGGAGTTGAGATACCCAGTATCCCATTTTTTCATTAATTTCCTCCTGTTGTTCAATGTTAAACTCAGAGAAAGGTATATTCCCTTTCATTAGAAGTAGTTAATAGCACTTAACTAAAAGATCACACATAACTGTGCTGCGTAAAACTCTTTAAGTTTTTTGTTTTTTTTTCCCCAGTTCATTGTGGTAACGGTTGCACAGCTGTGGGAATGCAGCAATGAAGGGTAAAGTGCTGATATCACAGTAGGATATTACATTTAGAAATGCACACCACCAAACAACAATAAGTATCGCTATTATACAAAATCTGTAACAAAAGAATTCTTCCTCTGATTTCTGCTGTGCACTCTGAGTCTCCTTTCTTTGGAGCTGGATGCTGTAATTTAGTGCTTTTCTGCCCTTGGTGGGGAAGGGACTGACAGTAAGCTCTGTTCCACCCTCTCCTCTTTCTGGTGTCCTGGCTCTAAATGAAGTTTCTAGCAGAATCGACTTATGCATATGGAGATCAGTGGATCCTGGGAAGAAGTTCTGCTGAAATAAGGTGCCTGTAGCTGCACTGACGGGGTAGCAGGAAGGCGTTTGAAGATTGCCATAGGAGAGGCACAGGTACCTCACCCTAGTAACATTAGACCAATGAGGCCAGTCAGAGCGTTGATCTTCTCTCCTCACTAACCTTTCTGCTCCTATGTTTTTAGAAAAAAGGCTATATTTGATGGTGGCATTATTATTATTATTATTTATTTATTTTTATTACTATTGCAGCTCACGGTGCTCGGTTGTTACCTTTGTTACTGACGATAGAAGACTGGCAGAAAGTGCTGTTAGAAGGAGTAACACTTGAAAACAGTTCAAACTTGAGTTTCCTGCTGAATACCAGGAAGTTAGTGGCTAATAGCACCGATTATTATATGCGATTTCCCTTGGATAGTACAACTTGTTAAATAGATTCTTTCATTAGTAGTTGACTAAATCATGATACTTAGCATTTGCAGGTAAAATCAGGGATAGCTCTTACACCAGGGGACAATGATGTCTGTCCCTACCAGAATAACCTTCTAGCTCTGAGACTTAATTCATTGTCATGATAAGTGCAGACAGCACAAATGCTAGCAAAAAGCCCAGTGCTGTAGCCCGCTTGACCTAGAAGTACACTGTGCCTGCACAAGAGTCCTCAGTGCCGGGACAGGGGGAAGAGAGGATCCCCTCCAGTTGAAAAGCATTAGAGCTGCCTCTGTGAAAAATCATCTCATCATAAATTCCTCTGGTTTTGGACTTCATACTGTCAGTTAAATGTCTGTACTGCCAGCTTCTGTCACATGCAGTAGCAAACTGGCAGTATAGTCTGGGTGGTCCTTACTTAATCCTCAGGTCTGAAAGAGCTGCATTATGAATAAAACACAGGGACTCAGTTGAGCTTTATTCTGAGCTGTGCTTTTAGTTCATTTTTAGTCTTGTCAAGGTTGTGGCCATAGTGTTTGCATATATTATACATATATAACACATATAGAATATATAACTATATAGCATATAGTGTAGTTCTCGCTCTTCACTTGTATTTCCATGGTTTACATCTTCACGGAGGATGTGCCGTGACTATCTGTAACTGATGGCTTCTCTTTTTTTCTTCTCCAGGTCATCTAAATGCAGTTTTGTGGTTGTAGAGCTAGTGCTGATAAAGCAATTCTGAATACTTTTTAAAAGACCTTCAGATACTGAGAATACTTCAAACACTGTGGAGCTGACAGGTCACTAGGATTGTAACTTGTTACTTGCATATACTTGGAATTTCCATAAAGTTTCAACTCCCATTTTTATTTTCACTTTTTTTGCTCTCAGCAGTTCATCCTTCTCAAACCTGTCTTCATCTAATGTAGACAGGCATCTTTTCAGTTGGGATTTGTTTTACCAGGACCTTGTAGGAACTATTATATTCTTATCACTAAATATCATTATTTAATCTCTTGTGCTTACACACAACCACCATTCTCTCACTTTGAGTAGCAGTGGAGCTTTCTGTTTGCTTGGGGATTTTTGGCTATGTCTGCAGGAATCTTTGACTGTCTTGAAATAATTTTTTGGCCAGGCTGAGCACTTGTATATCTGCTGTTGATGACTTACCCAGATGAAAAGAAGTAATCTTAGAACCAAGCTGCATTGGGTTTTGCCTTAATTTCTTTTTTTTTTTTTTTCCCCCCAGTGCTGCAGAAAGTTTTGCTGCTTTCCCCTCCCCCCAGCTAAATCATCCCTGTTTTCTCAACTGTACTGAGTTACTGACTTGTGTGACACAAATAAGTTTATTGCAAACTAATTTAGTTGTAAGCTCATATAAGAAGCTTAAAAAGGCTGAGGAGATCAACACTCATGTTATATTATTAGTAGGTGGCAAAAACTGCAGTAAAACTCCATAGGTTTTATCTTAATAAATTGTTTTTAGTAACTGGAGAATTTTCTTACTTGTAAATATTTTTCTGGTGGAAAATAGTTTTTTGAAATGAAAATGGAAGTCAAAGTGAACTTGAGTTGGCTTAGTTGTTTCACTGTTAGTTTTCAGGCTGACCACTGTGCAGCATCATGACATTTTATGTGTGGAATTTCTAGTCTTACATGATAACACATGAAGTTGATACACCATTTCATTGTTAAAAGAAGTTTCACTTTAGCACGGTGATAAAGAGAATATAATCATAAAAGTGAATTATGGAGGGTTCTTTGATTTCTGATAATATCTGAATGTTTGTTTCATGATCCTCAGAAATTTCAATTTTGGAAGATCAAGCATATGGGGCTTTCCAGTATGTGGGTGCAGGCCAATAATTGGAAGACTGAAGCCTGCAATTTAGAAATAAAGCAAAATTCCATACTTGCTAATGTTGCTAATTAACGAGAGGTTAATACGTGAGCATCTGCTTTAATTCATAATGCTTTAGTCATCTGTATCTACTGGCTTTTGTTTCATGTTTTGTTTCAGACATCTTTTGTTTTTTTTTCTTATCCATCTTTAATTCTAGAACAACCAGAGAATGGTAATGATGCTACTGAATTGGGCAACTTTATCATACCTGAGATTAGTGTCACAAGTGTGGCTGGAGAGAGGACCGGGAATGGGGAAAAGAGCAGAGCACTAGCAGAGAATGATGTTCAGCATTTACAGGGAGTACAGGAAACAGCTGCAGATCCTAGAACTGACAGCAAAGGCATGCCAGAAATCAGGAGGCAAAAATCTGTAAGAAAAATGATGGAGGATGGAATAAACTCATCTGGCAGAGTGCAGTTTTAGCAGAGCACTTGTAGCTGCACTCTAAGGTACCACTGTTGATTGAAAGGGTCACTGCTGCATGTTTGGAGAATTAAAGTATGCAGTTAATATATTTGCATGTGTAATAACACAAATGCATGTATTGCACACAGCTTTGTCTGTGCCACAGACAATGACAACATACTTACAAGTAGATTTATTTAATCTGGAGAAAATACACTGTGAGACTCAACATACCTTTGAGTTTATTAAGCATATTTATTGGGTTTACAAAATCCAGTGATCAGTGGTATGAAGAATCCGTCAAAATGGATGTGAAAAGTATCTCGCTGTGTACCTCAGATTTCCCAAATTCCACCTTTCATGGTATACTGGAGATCTCATGTTGTGCTTGAGTTTCAAACTCATATCACCAAACCTATGATGCAGAAGGTGACCTTTCAGTCCTAAAGCATTCTTGGGTTGCTAAACGTGCAGGTGCCATATTGGGTGTCCTGGGGTATTGATCACATACCTTCATAATCAACGAGCTTTGCAAAATCATGAATTGGAGCACTTGCTCAAAATAAGATTTACACTTTTTTTTGTTCTTTGTGGTATCTTCTAATCTATAAGTTTCTAATCTCCTGCATGAATTAACAAGACTGCATTTTTTTTTTTTTTTCAAAATCACTACAAAATGAGATTCTGGGCATGCTTTTTGATCTAGTTAATGCAGCATTATTTGCTGTAACTTTATATCCTAATGAACCTTAATTCCAAAATCTAGTGGAATAGGTAAGTGTTTTGTTTTCTGTTCTCTGTTCTATTGCTGTATGGCTTCATGCTTGTAAATATCAAAATCTAGGAATACATAAAATCAATAAATGTGAGAAAGTCAGTTGCTAATTCTTTATTTCTTTTTCTACCATGCAGGTAATACTGATTTAGCAATGCAAGAAGAACTGATAGAAGTGTCTGAAACTGATGAAGGGTTTTACTCTAGGGCTACTTCTAGTACAAGTCAGTCTGCCCTATCTAACAGCAGCAACATGAGCGGTAAAAACCTTTTGGGGAAGAGCCAACGAAGGTCTGGAGGAAGCAAAGCCGGAGGAAAAGAAAAAGAAGGAGAAACCTGCAGAGAACACTTGTCACGAAAACAAACTCAGAGAGCCATGAGTGAGAATCTAGAGCTTGTCTCTCTGAAGAGACTGACACTGACAACTAGCCAGTCCCTGCCTAAGCCTGGCAGCCATAGTCTGGCCAGAACGACCACTACTGTGTTTAGTAAATCCTTTGAACAGGTCAGTGGTGTCACAGTTCCAAATAACCGTGGTGGTGTATCTGGTACAGAGGCAAACAGGTTTTCAGCTTGCAGTCTTCAGGAGGAAAAACTGATATACGGAACAGAAAGAACAGATCTTCCGATTTTAAGCAAGCAACCTAATCAGCAGCGACCTCCTAGTATTAGCATAACTTTGTCAACAGATTGATATTAAATTGGCAAGTATGAAAAATAAAATATTGAGGGTTTATGCTGATATTGGTACATTGGTACATTAAGCTTCTTAATATGCTATACATACTTTCTTAAACCTCAAGCCCATAAATTCTTATTTGGCTCGCATTTAACAGTAATAGTGAATAGACAACAGTTGTAATTATTTTGCGTCAATTTCTAATAGCTTGGAACGTTCCTCTTTGACTTACTGTGTTTATGCACCTGATTGCTTACGGCTTCATGTGAAGCTTACAGCTTTACCAGTTTAACAAGATTGGTCATTTAGCCACTGACGGAGATGTGTGGCTTTTTGCAGATGCACAGTACGGGAACAAATAGAGCCTCTTTCCCAGATTCTACTTTTTTGGTACCACTTGGCATAGGCAAAACCGCAAGTACTTGTCTTATTTAAGAGGACTCTCGCAGCGTGGGCATGAAACTTTGGAACAGCATTGTAAGAACAAACATTCTCTTATGTTAGCCATGAGAAAGCTGTGCTTACATGTAAGGTTAAAGCTAGAAGCATCAGTTCAGTGTTTGATGTTATGGCAGTTTTTGTAATAGTAGTTAGTACACATTGCAGTGTTCATACTTCTTTATGCCTATGAGTCTGAATTACAGATGCATTTTGGTTTTTCTATACGTCTTTGAAACTGGGCCAAAAGTCATACAGCAGCACTTGTGGATCGGAGTTCTTATCAGTTGCTATAGTAGTCACTCTTTAGACTTACAAATTGTGTGACAGACTGACTTTCTTTCAGATACTTAAATATCAGCCACAAAGCTATTCATTGAAAAGTCGCTGTCATCAGTGTTTTTATTTATGTGCTTATGTAACAATGTTATGTAGGAAATAAGGTATGAGCCCTTTGCACTGACTCAAGCAAATCAGGAGTGTGAACGTGTTTAACATGAACTTCTTACTTGACACTAAGAGAATACTACCAAAGGATGTGTACTTTCAGTAATTTGCAAGCACAAAGGGAAATTATAATGTAAATATAACTAGCACTGTAATTCCTAGTCTTTTATATCTCTTATTTTTCTAGTTTGAAATTCTAAAACAGCAGTCTGTTTAAGGTTACCTAACCTTTAACCTGCAGTTAATTTGGTGACCTTGTTTGATACCAACTTTTATAACATTAAGATTTTAATTAAAAATGGACATTAAAACTTCTTATGCAGAAATTTGGAGAAGCAATAGCTGACAAAACCACTCCAGTAGCACTGATTAGCTGATAAACAGACGATATATTATTATGGGTGGAGAAATAGGATGAAGATCTAAGGCATAGTCATTCCCAACTGTCCAGATTTCTGCAGCTAGTGATCCCTTATTGTCAAGAACCTGGTAACAAAACAAACACTAAAATTCTGGTGGACTTTCCTATTTTCCTGAAGATAAGTTTAGATATCCCTTTTTGACTTAAACTGAAGCACAAGTAACTTTTAAGCAGCTAATGTTATTCAGGTTTATAGCAATTAATAAGCTGGTTAATTAATGATGAGATGAGGAGACATAGTTGATAGGGAAAAGTAAGTTGTATAATTCTACTTCTAGGACTGCAGGCTCTGTGTGTACATTTCTTAATATTCACCAAAGTCTGTGGAATAGCTGCATCAGTCTATAGATGTCTGTCTTCACCTGAGAGCCTGAGTTTAAATGAATGTGCTGCACTTTCTCATTCTTCAGGTTGTTGTGTGACACTGTTCTGTTCTAGTAATGCAGTATTTCCCCTTTTTACAGTGAAGTGTTTTCTTAATTGTACGTGGAAACTTACAGTCCTAATGTATAAACTAAAGTTTGTCCTGTTTAGTGCTTAATACTTTGGCCAGTGAAATAAACTGGTTCTTTGAAGTTGTATGTTTTTGTAAATACTTTGTACAGCACAAAATTTTGCCTCTTTTTTACAGGTTTTTCTGGAATACACATTAGACAGCACATTTGTTTAAGATTGACTAATACATGTGGCTGCTGGAGCATGCATAACCACAAGCAGTAGAAGGGGTTTAGGCAGCTGATAGCAGATGTTGGCTAGCACTACGCATACTGAATGTAGAGCTCTTCCTTTCCTTGAAATTTGTTCTAGATGTTAAGAAGAAATAACCTGCAGAACTTACAGCTGCCTGCTGATCTGCTCTTGCAGCGTAGCATTTAGGAATACTTTGGAAACACTTTACAGTAATTAAAATTGAAACATAAACTAGAACAAATAAACAGAATTGCAATTGACAAATGTTTGTTTTGAACAGTATTAATTGTGAGTTAGTGTTGAGGGACTAGAATTTTTAAGTAATTCTACTGGTTTTGTTTTGTTTCATTTAGTTCATGACTGTTATCTCCACAGACACTCTTTCAAGCTGGGTGTTGGTGTAAAAGATGTTTATTATACTGGGAAGATTTAGTCACTTTAGCTATAAATAATTAGAATTTTGAAGGATCTACAATGCCATAAAATGTAGATATGTAACATAATGTTTACAATACTGTTGGCTACAAGTCACAGTGTTAAAGTAAAGTTAGTTTATCCATTTATTTTATCCAGCTAATTATTCTAACTGTGGTCTGGCTTGAACCCAAGGCATAGGCTCATATTGGTACAACTGAAATTACATAAATCTTCATACTTTTCTGAGAAAATGATAAAAGGAAAGGTTCTTGATGCTAAAGGCTGCTGTTCCTGTACATATCTGGCTTCATATTAATATGTATGTATTGGAGCCACTTATACAATGAGCATGTTTTTGTGAACTGACACCACACCTTGATACCTATCGAGTCTAAACAATTTCTTTTCTGATGTGAGTAATAGAACTTCCAGTTGTGCTTCTTTCTTTTCCTAAAAATGGAAAAGAAAAAAAAAAAGGCAGGCTAGGGGAGAGGGAGGGCAGAATTATTTGTTGTCCAAATATCCATGGTGCAGGATTGGGGGGGGCGAGAAGTAGGGCAGGAAGCAGATATATTAATTATGTAATGAAATATCTAAAATTGTCAAGCTCTTGGGTTTTGAGCATTATCTGATCACTTTAGACTGATGAATGAAAAATACATTTCAAAGAAGTAGACGTCTTCTAACAGCGTAAGGAAAACCTATTAAGACATCCCATATTGTAGTCGACCCGGGAGTGGGTAGTTCTGATGAATACGCTCCAAACATACAAGGCTGCAACATTCTCGGGGAAAAATGTTATGTAGGAGTGAATCATCTCAAATTATAATCAGAGAATTTGTTTTAATGCTGACATTTATAACTGACCTTACTGTTTTAAAGCAAAGGGCACTGATTCCAATGATGGCTTTGAACAGCAACACTTTCAAAACTCTGTTGAAGCTGAGAAGATTTATTTTTGTTGTGAGAATCTGTAACACCTGCGCAAAAAGCGTATGGCCTCTAACCACTTGCTGTAGAGCTGCAATGACTTTTCTGAAGGGAGTGAAATGTCCTTGAATACCTGACAGATTTGACAGGTACAGAAATACATAGCTATTTTACCCACACTTCTCTCTAAGGAGGTCTCTTCTGATTTCTGAGGATTCTAGAAATTTCTAAATTATGTCCGATATCTTTTGTCAGTGTTTGAGGCTTACAGTGCTGTACATAGGTGTGTAATATATTGCCTTTTCTATTTGTATAATTCTACTTCTAAGACTATAGATGTGTACATTTCTTAATATTCACCAAAGTCTGGAATAGCTGCATCAGTCTATAGATGTCTGTCTGCACCTGAGAACCTGAGTTTAAATGAATGTGCCGCACTTTCTCATATTCTTCAGTTCCTTGTGTGACACCATTCTGTTTTGGTAAAGCAGTATTTCACCTTTTTTTACAGTGAAGTGTTCTCTTAATTGTACATGAAAACTTACATTCCTAATGTATAAACTACAAGGTTTTCTTGTTTAGTGTTTAATAATTTGGGCAGTAAAATAAACTTTTTTCTGAAGTTGTATGCTTTTGCACTTTGTACAGCAGAAAATTTTGCCACTTCTTTACAGGCTTTTTTGAAATACACATTAGATAGCAGTATATTTGTTCAGTTTTCATTATACACATCTAGAAGTCACAGTAATGTTGACCACATTACTTAAAATATGCTGAATACCCATTTTACAGAGCGTAAGCTCTGCAAATGTAGCCTTGTCAGGTAGTACGCCATGCCTAAACCACTTGGCTGAGAAACACTGACTGACAGGTGGAAGGTGAGTTCAAGCAGATGAGTTGTAAACTGGTTGATGGCAGAAGTAGGTGACTGTCCTGTCAGTAACGTAGCACTACTTGAGCAACTTGGCAGTTTTGATGGTTTTAACGTAACAGTGGTTTGCTACACAGCTGTTATCTGCAATGTGTCTTTATTATTAGATCTTCTGTCCAGCAGTCTTCACTGTGTTCTGTGACCTGCTGGGCATCTGGGGGCTGTTGGCTGTCTTTTCTGCAAGGGTGCGTGTGGCCGGCTCACGTTCCCCTTGTTCATGAAGACCCCCAGGGCTTTTTCTGCAAAGCTGCTTTCCAGGTGTCTGGCCCCAGTGTCTGCTGGTGCCTGGGGTGGTTTGTCCCCAGGGGCGGGACTTGGCGTTGCCCTTTAAGCTTCCTGAGATTGATGTGTTGGCTCATGTCTCCTGCCTGTCGGTGTCCCTGTGAATGGCAGCGCACCCCTCTGAGGTATCGACGACTTCTCCCAGTTTTGTGTTATCTGCAAACATGCTGAGGGTGAGCTCTGTCCCATCATCCACCTTCATTAATGAAGATGTTAAGCCGTCCTGGCCTGGGTATCGACCCCTGGGGTACACCAGTAAGGCCAGGTCTCCAGCTGGGCTTTGTGCCACTGGTCACAGCCCTTTGAGCCTGGCCATTGAGGCGATTTTCTGCTCTGAGGCCTGGGTTTCCCGAGAGCTGCTCTTGCTGGTAACAACAGAAGCAAAGGCGGCAGCGAGTACCTTGGCCTTTTCCATATCTCCTGTCAGCAGGTCCTCTGCCCCACTCAGCTGTGGAGCCCTGTTTTTCCTTAGCCTTCCTGTTGCTGATGATATCTCTGCTAAAGCTTTTCTTGTTGCCCTTCACCTCCCTTGCCAGGTTCCACTTCATTTGAGCTTTGGCTTTCCTAACCCCATCTGTGTGTGCTTGGATAGTACATCTATAATCTCCCTAGGTCCCCTGCTCTTGCTTCCACCTCTTGTACGCTTCTTTTTCATGTCTAAGTTTAGTCGAGAGCTCATTGTTTGTGCATCCAGGCCTCCTGCTGCCTCTGCTTGATTTTCTGTGTGTTGCGATGGACCATTCTTGAGCCTGGAGGAGATGGTTCTTGAACATCAACCAGCTCTCCTGGGCCCTCCTTCTCTCTAGGATGGTCTCCCAAGAGTATCTACTGAGCAGGTTCCCTGCTCAAGGCAAACTCTGTTCTTCTGTAGGTTCAGGGTTGTGATCCTGCATTTTGTTCAAGGTTTCTTTCCTTCCGCCTTACAAATGTAGTCTCTGGTGCAATGCTGTAGAGAAACCTGGATGAATGGAAGAGCTGTAGTAGATGGCAGCAGTGGGAGATCTCACTCTGCATTTTTTCATTTTTTGCAAATATCGGTCTTTAACCTCTTCTTTTGAATGGGCAAAACTCAATTTCCCTTCATACAAATGGGTGAGAGAGGAAATCTCAGATTCCTAACATTTCACTTGAACAAGCTAAAAGTTTCCTTTTCCAAAATGTACAAATTAGACTTGATGCTGTGATTGTCCCGTAAGTGTGTAAGATTCACTATTTCAGTTACAAGGGGTGAAAGGCAGTGCTCAGAACAGGCTCTTACGTGGTTTCAGGTCTGAATTGTTATTGATTAGTGAAAGACAACGTGAATTTGAATATCTCCTCTCTTCCCAAAATGTGGTAGGGAGTACAAAAGAAAGTAATGGTACCCCAAAATACAGCCCTTAATGGAGGATGAGAGTACCTGGGAGCCTGCTGGACAATTCGCAGAGAGAGGGATGTTTGAAGGTAACGCAAGCAATTACTACCCAGCTACAGAAGTTACATTTGTTTCTACAGACTTTACAGCTAGTTGCCTGCACTGAGCTTGTAATAATTATTTTTCATGTTTTATGTTGATCTAGCTCTGTGTTAAAGATGACTTCAGTATGGGGGTTTTCTCCCAACCCACAGCTGCCAGGTAAAAAAACCCACCCGCTAATTCAGGATAGTGGGGAAAAATGTCACTGTGACTCCAGAAGCCTTTGTGAAACAAGCCTTTACATCGCATGGTGCTCGCTTCATTAACTTGATTCCTAAAATGTGGTGGTGTTTAATCATCTGTTACTCTAAATGTGCTGGAACAATACTGAAATTTAATGGTGCGGAAAGACTCGTGGAAGTTAGTCTGAGTCACACCATGCTTCTGACAAGCTACCTAGTTGTTGTTCTTGTCATTAACGCTGACTCACGCTGGCAGTCCTCTATGTAGAGTTTCTTGGTCTGGACTACGATGGTAGATTTTTCTAGTGGATAGATTTCAGAGGAGGTGAGAAGAAATACCAGCTTTTACCTCCACACCACGCAACAAAGTAAATGAAGGAGTGTCAGGTATTGGCACAAGAAGTCCTCAGCGTGGACGTGATTTTCCGATGTTTCTGCAATACAAATAGTGAGCCAAAATAACGAACAAACATTCAGTGCTTTCTCTGAAAAGATACTTTGCTCATGCATGAAACTTGAATAGCATCTTCGATTCCTATCAAAGTAGGAACAGAACAGTCACTCTAAAAACATACGTATATACACACACATATATAATATATTTATACATATATATACATATATGTGGCTTCCTCTTCAGCTAGTCAAGGTATGGAGGTTGTGAAACTGTTGGGTAGACTATTGGAGCTGGCAAGGACCTGGACCAGCACTGATGTCAATGACCTACGATACCATCTAAAATAAATGTATCTGGGCACTAAAAAGTTGTGCTGTCACTGGTGTATTTTCCTTGTCATATTATCTGCCAAGAGCAAATTGACTTGAATATAAATGGTAAAGGACCTTGCACTTATTCCTTAAATATGTTTTAAAAAAAAAAATCACAATATTCGTATTTTCTTCTTTTGATTTTTTTGTTGTTAAAATGCATTGTGGTTTCATTATTGTTAATAATCTGCAGTTCAGACTTTGCTAATAATTCAGATTGAATAGTTGAATTGGGATAACATTATTACAATAGCATTTTGGAATCCAGCGCGAGCCAACTGTCATACCAAATGTCAGCTTCAGCAGACTGTCCTGACCCTAAAATGTTAGTGTTTGAGAAATCTGCTATAATAAATCACAAAATGGAAAGACTTTCGCAAGGTAACGGCGTTGATATTCCCCAGAAGATTGTTTACTTGTTAGTTCACTGGGATTTGGAATGGCATTTCCACGGCAGGGGGGTTGGACTAGATGACCTTTACAGGTCCCTTCCAACCTAAACTATTCTGTGATTTATATTCCTCATTTCAGCCATTAAAGAAAACCCATCCAACTGCTATTTAGCTAAGCTACTAATTTCAGCTCTCCCTGTATTGACTGGAGAAAGACACAGGCACTGTCAAACTGATTCAGCGCATCCTGAGATAGGGAGATCCTCGCTGACACTCGGAAAGTGTTCGTCCCATCTCTCATTTCCTTCTCATCCTGAACAACCGGCTTAGCATTGCTGCCTCATTACTGCTTCCTACCGAATTGAATCCGTACATCCCCCTTCTTGCTGCATAAAGCCAAAATAAGCTTTAGCATAGCATCAGTCACTTCAGCATAGCTCCGAATGTCAGCAGCTGTCCTATTTTTACAAAAGGCTTTACAAGCAGGCAGATGTCTAGGAAGAACAGATCTGGTTTAGTAGTTCTG